TCGCACCGTATATCGATACGCAATCGGCTGCCGCTGCTGCTTCTAAATGCAGTTATCTCTCGCGGCGAGAAACTCGTTAGCTGCAAATGCGATGTTGCCGTAATATAATGAAGCTGCGCTGGCAGGCTGACCAGTGTAAGGCTGTAAAGGCTGGCAGAGCGTGAAGGCTCGCAGGTCTCGCAGCGCAGAAAATACGCGCCTAGTTAGAAAAGTGCAAGATTGATTTGCGGAAGATGGGCTGATGTGACAGGTAGGATCACAATATAGGGCTATGGTGCCAGGCAGTCTTCGAATTTAGCCTGGCGTCCGACGCCCGGGACGTGTAGATATCTCGGCAGGCATGTAAACATTGTAAGCTCACTTAATTGCCTCCTCTTTAAGAGCTCCTGCTTTAAAAACGCATAAACTATAATAAAACTGGCCATTAACTAAAGGTTTTAATATAAAATCACAAAATGTTAACACCGGAAACGAATGGCGTCTAGAAGTTGTTTGGTGTACACTTCTTTACTCGATATTCCAAAAATATTTCTGCAAAATATATGGGCAAAGATATATGTGACTAGAATGTCATTCGGGCATGTACATTTTACAGAATACTAGTACTTGCCCAAAGGGCTCAAAAAGTTTTTCGTGAAGATTGTTGGTGTACTTAATTAGTGGATGCACTGTAGGTTATTGATGGCCTTGTGGGAAATTTAACATCAGCTGTTACCAGGTACTAGAAATGCATTTGTGGATTATCCGCGTACGGCATTACATTGTCTTATATAAGGCAAATTATCAAGAGCTAATAATACCTATTATTGATAATACCAGGGGTTAATTATGACCAATTTGCCATTATTAACCCCTGATAATACCCAGGTACCTTGATTTTAGGTCTTGATATTATCCGATTTTATCACGTTTTGTCACCCCTGAATAGGATTACTTGTTCATTTCAGGTCTTTACGTAAGCTTCACACCGTAATTTAATCTAGCCTTATCTTAGCACTATCTTTAATCTAGCCCGAGTTCTTCTCCATGGTGTTATATGTATGCGTGCTTGCGTGCATACACGTTGAAATTTTATTTACGGTACGCCCGTGCGGGTGTGCTTGTGTGCGTGCGTGCGTGCGTCGACGCAAGTGTGAAGGTGTGGCGCGAGGAGAATAGAGGGCTGTTGTGTATGTAACTGGAGCGACAGGAAACTGCGGACGCGTGGGGGGGGGGGAGCAGACACGAGCTGACAGGCAGGCAGTCGGCGCGTTGCCCCGATGCACATGTGGAACACGAGTAGCTGATGCGAATTAGCGCTACTCTGTTTCTCCCGTTACGGTCAAATGTGATTTCAAGGTCCTTGAAATCGTGAAAGCGTTGTCATCTGAAGTGCTGACAAGAATGGCCATGAAAGAGGTGATATCGACTGTATTACAAGAGGTCTGTGATAATGAAATGAAAGTGAGAATTACGTTTAGCGCATGGGTTACACGCCAGATAAAGAAAAGGATGTAGACAGAGAGGCTGACAATGAGAGGGGGAGATTGACAGGAAAAGAGCGAGAGAGAGAGAGAGAGAGAGAGAGAGAGAGAGAGAGAGAGAGAGAGAGAGAGAGAAGAGAGAGAGAGAGAGAGAGAGAGAGAGAGAGAGAGAGAGAGAGAGGAGGAGAGAGAGACGACGACGACGACGACGTACGTACGTAGTAGTAGTATAGTAGTAGTCGACGGTACGTACGTACGTAACCGTACGTACGTACGGTAGT